TTTATGAATACATCTCTTCCTACTTCTCATATAACTGTTTCTATACAATAGAGGTGAAACATTTGTGTTGCCAAGGGTTCACAGGACTCTGCACCATCTATTTAAGTCATATAGTCACAGAAAGCCACAAAGTGGTCCCAGGAAGCAAGAAGGAAGGAGGGAGATGAGAGAGAGGGAAAAGAGAGGAAAGAAGACAGGGAGAGAAGGAAGCAGGGAGGGGAGAAGAGGGAGAGAAGAACAAATGGAGGGAGGGAAGCCATTTATGTTTCCAGTCAGGAACATAAGTCCCTCATAGGTGAGAAGTGATGCAATGTGTGATAGTTTGACTGTGATTACTGCTACTCACTCACTCATGCAAATATTGTTCTAATCTATCTCCAGTACTGAGACTATAAAAATGATTTGATCATATATAATACTGCTTATGATCATAATAATGTTTGTATCAAGAAGTAAGCAAATACTGCCATTTGTCCTGGCATTTTACCTCCCTACTCTTCAAATTCTTTGAACAAGATATAACTCCACTTTATAGATATAAAATTTTAATCTCAAAGTCAGTAGCATTTTTGCTGCCTACTACATAAAATTAAAATCATGCCCTGTAACATGGGCATGGTGGCACACAGCTGTAATCCCAGAACTTGAGAGGTGGAGGCAGGTGGTTCACAAGTTCAAGACTGACCTCTGCTACATACATAGTTTAAGGACAGTCTTGGTTACATGAGACACTGTCTCCAAAACAAATAAACAAGAAAACAAAATTTAAAAAAAAGAGAGAGAGAGAGAGATGCTCCCGAAACTTGAACATTTAGACTTTCTGTATTTTTTCAATTCACTGAAAAGGATTTAAGTATATTGATTATAGAGAAAGACACCTGCATCTTAGATGGATTGACTCCATGGTGGATAATGACAGACTGATTCAAACAGGTCCTATTTATAGAGAAGGGTGGAAGAATAATGAATAGGAATAAATGTAGAAACAAGAGGCAAGGAAGGGAGAGAAAAGGGCATGAGAGGAAGAAGGGAAAACTGAGCTACTGATTCCTAACATACGAATGGTACAGGTAACATTAAGACCCTTAATCGGGTTTTCCTAAAAGCATTGGATGTTAGTACTGAAGTCTTCCTTTATCAAAGTCATTCAGGACAACAGGGAGTTTGTTGTTTACTGAGTTTGAAGTGGACCAGTATGATAGGCTGTTTACTTCAGGACTCCCCAAACCAAGTAAGACCTAAGAACAATTGTTCATTTTGACTTAAGTTTTATGAGTCAAAGTTTTTGCTTATGCCATATAGTTAGTAAGTGCATTACTCTTCTGTGAATCCATGCAGCTCTACTGAGGAGTGCATGATCTGTCTTGCTTGAGTGGCGAATGGAGGACACAGTTGTAAGTGAGGTCTGTTATGGTGCAACTTGAGCCAAATTACCACTTTTCATGGAGATAATCCATTATATTTTCAAATTTCAGGAACAATCTTCGGTGGCTGTTAAACAGAAATCTGAGAGTTCAAAGACAGTGTCCTGTTCAGGGAACTAGTTACCGTAAAAACTCACATTTCCTGAGCACCTGGTGTGTCCTACACATTTGGCTACTCTACTGCTTCTGACAAAAAAAAAAAAAAGATCATGAAGAGTCATTTTCACCTTTCTTTACAATAAAACGTTTTGGCTACCTACTATGTTCTTATAAAAACATTCTAGAAAGTCTCAGTGTAGTTAAGTATATATGAGTGAAGATTGAGGAAAGTAATTACAAAGAAAAGAAAAGTCATTTTGAGGAATTTAGACAGCATCTAAAAATCTTTTAAGAAATAATTCACTTCCAAACAGTTTTGGAACCTGAGATAAGGTCAAGGTTCACTGTGAAACATGACTGTAGTTCACACACATGGCTGAGCAATTATGACTTTCAGGTTTCAAAGACAGGCCAAATTACCATAGCTTCCAGTATTGTTTTGATTTGAACAGTCTGCCCCTGTCAAAATTCACATTGGGGCTTAATTCTTCAATGTGGAATGTTGAAGACAGGTCTTGTCAGAAGTCTTCTAGAACTCAAAGTTGAAGATGATATAATTACTTATGTACAGTTATCAATGCGTTCTTCCTCTTTAGTTAGGCTTAGGACCTTTCAGCAAGTAGAAGAGTAACTACGACTGTTTAAATACAGTGACACAAAAAGGCTTGGCTTCGAAAAATCACCCTTTTAAATATTTTTATTCTTGGCAAGATATTGAAGTGAAGCTCTTACGTACCTCTCTGCATTTAATGCCATTTTTATTTCAGGGAAATATCAATTAGACTGACAAATGCTGATCTAATTCAAAATAACACCTGAGAGAACACTTAAGTAGAGAAAAATGCATAGTGACAACTTTATTCAATGGAAAGCACAATGTTGCTTGTTTCACAAATGTGTGTTTGTGCGTGCATGCGTGCGTGCATGCGTGCGTGCGTGCGTGCGTGCGTGCGTGCGTGTGTGTGTGTGTGTGTGTGTGTGTGTGTGTATTTGTGTGTGCACCTGTGTGTGCATGTACATGCTCTGTTTCCCTTGGCAGTGCTGAGGATGGAGCTCAGGGTATTGTTTATGCTTGACAGGTACTCTACTACTGAACTACATCTCCAGACCTAGGAAATACTACCTGTTCTTTGAATAAAAAATAGGAAATCACACAGAAATTCTAATATTCAATATACACCAAAATCTTGTAATAACCCTGCATAAAACACATAAATGCATGTAATATATAAAAATAACAATTCTATTTTTAATAGAATTAATTGTAGCATATAAGATGTATTTCATTCTGTTGAGTATTAGAAGACATAACCAAACTTTCTATTAGCACAGAATTCTGTTGTGTCTTAAGTATTTAACCCAATTCTGTTACTTAGATCTTTTTCTCTCAAAATTTTAAAATTACATATAGTGTTATGGAAAAATATTGTATGTAAATGTCATTTCACATAACTACCTGAGCCCATGTACATACACAGCATAACTTACTGGAAGTCAACTTGTTAATCCAGAGAAAATGTTAATGTAAACAGCATACTGCAGACTTTTAAATGTTTAGGAGAATAGTGGCCAGTTGGCATTCCCCCAGAACATGGATGCTCACTCTCACAGCTTCCTGATACCTAAACTAACATAATTTTAAAGCCTTTCCAAACTGGGAAGCCAAATAGAATGTACTTAATTTTAAATTTCCATTTATTTGATTTATTTGAAATATAATCACATTTTAAGTAACCCAGTTTACCCCAGAACTCTGAGTATTGCTGGATTTCAGTGCTATGACTCAGGTACTTCACTCTGTAACAGAAAGAGGGGCCCACAATGCTGCTGCTGAAGGTAAAATTAAGGGAGAAGCAGGCACTCAGGAAGGGACTGTGACCAACACAAGTAAGCAGAGGTTAGCAAGTGGTTAATGTTCTCAAAAGTCAAAACTATGTAAGAAATTCCACCGGAACATACTAGTCACATGCACCTGGCTTGAGTTCCAACCATTTATTGTTTAACATAGCTGGAGCTGACTACTCTGGGGCGACACTTGGCTCCCAGCAGCCTCCTCTCTAAGCATACTCTCCTGCTCAGTCTCTCATTCGAAATAAACACTAATTTCAGCTAGTAACTTAAACACCACTGAGCAAATCCTATCCACAGTTTAAGGCTGTACAGTGAGATTTAGTGTTAGAAAAACTTGGGTTTAATTCTCACCATCATAAATTATGTACTTGGGACAATTACTCTAAGCCTTTTGAACTTTTCTGTATTTTTAAACTAAAGAAAAAACAATTACAACTCTTTGGGCTTTTGTTGAATTAAATACATACTTTAGTGTATATATGTTCATATGGCTTAACCTCCTAAAAGACATGTGGTAATTGCCAGTAAGTTCTGTGTAATGAGATGAATGCTCTTTCTATTACAACTTGATTAAATTTTAAACCATGCTTTAATATCCTAGTTCATACATAGTCATCTGATAGGTGTCCTTTTTCATTTGATATGAGCCAAACAACATAAACAAAAGCAACCTGGGCAGGCTAGAAATCTAATATGACTTCTAATTTGAAGTTTTTCTTGGCATTTGCTTTGGTACACAAAATAGAAACAAATAAAATAAGCCCTAATTCTGCTTAGAAGGTGAAGCCAAGTTTGAAAAACAAAACAAAATAAAAAAATAAAATAATCCATGCAAACAGAAAACAATTGCTAAAGTTCCTAACAAGTCAGAAGTCACAAAAGAAGTTAATAAATAGCTTCATAGTCCTGTGGTCAAATGCATTACTTTCTTCAGTTTGGTTATAACTCTCTAAATTGTGCAGGTGATCAGCATTTCCTTGAAGTTGTCTAGATACTAACATTTGATTATTTTCTTTTCAGTATTTACAGATAAATTTTGAGTGTCAATATAGGAGGGCTTTGCTTTATTAGTCTCTGGAGTTTAAATATTATAATTATAAACATTGAAAAGAGTAATTTATTAAAGATAGTCACAGTATGAAATGGATTAAAAGCAAATCAGAAAATAAATTCACTTAAAGACATTGAATAGTTGTACTGTGTGACATCAGTAAATAGTTCTTGAAATTAAGCTACTCGTATTCTTTTCCTAATGTATTTTAATCAAATAATTGATATAAAAATTGTTTTATCATTGAAACATTATTTAACATTTATTAGTCCCATGAACTTCTGCATATCCCATGAGTTGTGAAGTGTCTTTAAAAAGCAAAATAAATCAGAGTAAATATGTTAAAATTATTACTGCTTTGAGAACCATCCTTTGAAGTTATCTGTGTCCAGCACCATTCTAAAGAAAAAATTATGCATACACAATTACAAAGCCAAATCCTAAATAATCTTATTTTAAGTATGCAGAATTTCAAAGTTTCTGGTGAGCTGTAGATAATACCCACATATAGAGTGTCTTTAACCAACCAGCACAAAGTATATAAATAGCAATGAAGTTGAATGTTTGTGTTACAGATGCAAGGCAAGAGTAGTGGCATTTACCCACAGACCCATCACTTGTGAGGTGGAGACAGGATCATCACACAAGCATAGAAAGAATGTCAGATATTGACTCCAGGCACTCTGGACATAAGTGGACAAGAAGAAGAACCAAAAAGGAGATGTGTGTCTAGGATGACAATGACTCCCTTCCACAGCATGGGTCTGAAATGTTCCTGTCCCTGTGTCCACCCCCTTTAAAAGCCCTTCAAATAAATTCCTGAAATGAGTTTTCAGAGTTGTTGTTTTTCTTATGGTGCTGACCATTGTAGAAACTTAGTTTCTACTCATATCCCAAGTATTGGCTTTGAGCAGCGAGCAGACAGATTTGGATTTTATAATACTACTATGGTTATAGTTCACATAATTACCCCTTAATTTTTATGACCATCTGATCAGTGCATCTGATTAATGAGTGTTGATGTTCATTGATATCTCGTCTGTTTTTTTCCCTCCACTTCTCTCTGTGTGACTCTTTACCAACTCAGACTCACAGTAAATCATGAGAAGTTTCCAGTACTTATGAAGGCTTATGAAGGTGTACTAAGTCATACCATGTATGTAAAATAATTTCTGTTGAGGAATTTTCTCAAGGTTCTAAGAAAAAAATCTGCTAAGACACTAATAGCATTATAAACACAGGTTTACATTGTTACAGGTCTCTGCAGCTCCATTTCAGTATCAGTTTGTAAGTTTGTTTTTCAAAGATAGCACCAGTCAAACTAAAGTGAAATCTGTGAAGTGAATGAGCACACTACATGAGCAGGAAAGGAAGTCCAAAATGGGATCAACTTACTAGACGACAGCTGGAAAATTTCCACCACTCCCCTTAAATTTCTATGCATTTAATTAAATGAATTCCACTAATAAGAACAGATTCAATGAGTAAAAAACAGAGGTTATGTAGGTATAACCTCTTATAAAAAAAAGAAGCAAAATTAATAAAGCTTTACTACAGCAAGTTGAAAAAAACTAAAAGAATTAATATAGATTTAATTAAATAATTTATTACTGTTGAATATGTATGATTGAGTATTTAACTATATTGTTGTGGAATAATCTTTTTGTACACTGTGAAGATATGTCTTTGACAAGGTGTCAATGGTTTCTTATGAAACCAATAAGAAGCTAAATGGCCATTAGCTAGGCAGGAGATATAGATGGGACAGCCAGACACAGAGGACGTTGGGAAGAAAAAAGGCAGGTTCACCAGGAGACACAGAGGGAGTAAGGCATGTTGGAGGGCAGGTAATGCTGTGAACCACATGGCGATATGTAGAATATTAACTATGTTAACTATAATTTTATTCATACCTGTGATTATGGGCCTTGCAGGAGCTACTGTGTCA